TGAGTACCCAACTGTTGGGGGGCAATGAGCTTACAGTTATAAACTGCTAGACACCCCATAGTGCGGTATGAAGCAGTATATAAAATGAAGCTGCTTTGCTTTGATTTGTTATGTCTACAGTGTGGCTGCAGCCTCAGTTAACAAAGCCTCTGACAGTGTAGCTCCTTGTTTCAAAATCTTTTAAAATCTATCCAGCTCCTCCTTTTATTTCTCTTACTCTTTGTAGCTGCAGGATTTATTTATTTTTTTAGCAGCATCAGCATTGGAAGGATGGTGAAGGAGGGAGAAATACAGACGTTCAGTGTAAGTTTACAGCTTGCAGCAGTGTATCTGCAATATACAATTTACAAAATTTACAAAAATGGAATTTACAAAAATGGAACTGGAAAGACTGAGGTCCAGAACACATGGCAGAAATAATCCAGTTTAAGACGATTGCTTTAACTGCCCTGGTTCAATGCTAGAGAATTCTGGGAACTGTAGTTTTCTGAGACATTTTGCCTTCTCTGTCAGAGAGCTCTAGTGCCACAATAAACTACATTTCCCAGGATTCCCTAGCACTAAACCAGAGCAGTTAAAGCAGGGGTAGGCAACCTTTCCCCTTTAAGGGCCGAGGGACTTCAGCTCCCAGAATCCCAGGAGCTATTGGCCAACATGGGACTATTGACCAACATGGCTGAGGCTTCTGGGAGCTGAAGTCCCTCGGCCCTTAAAGGGGAAAGGTTGCCTACCCCTGAGTTAAAGCAATATCAAACTGGATTATTTCTGCAGTGTCTTTTGGACCTGAGATACTACTTCAGCTGATCCTGCAGTAGCTTTGTTTGCATTGCTATAGTAGGCAAGGTAAAAAGCAGTTGCCTCCAAAATACTTTTACTGAGAATGTGTGAACAAAAAAACACAGAGAAAATGAGAGAGCAGATAAGCCTACCTCACCAGTTCCCCCCAATATGTTAAAAAGCTTAGATCTATAAGGAGATTATTGCAGCGCTAATTAAAGTAGTTTACCTGAGCCGGCTTAAAATTTTAAACGGGGGCATCCTGATGTTATCTATCACAAGTATTTTGCTGCCAAAATTGCTGCCTGGATGCAGCCTGGGTCCATCCCTACTCCCAGGGCTGCTCTGGCGCCCATGTCCTTAAGCTAGAAAACTCCCGGCTTTGAAAA